TTGTTGTTGTTATGTGCCGTCGAGTCAGACCTGACTCATAGCGACCCCTCCTTGGGTTTCCAAGGCAGTATCACTACGGAAGTAGATTGCCCTATCTTCCTTTTGAGGAGTGGCTGGTGGGTTTGAACTGCCAGCCTTCTGGTTAGCAGTCAAGTGTCTTAGGCACTATGCTACCAGAGCTCCCCCGGTATAGTCAATGTTCTTCACCAACACCATAATTCAAAGGCATCAACTCTTCTTTGGTCTTCTTTATTCATTGTGCAGCTTTCACAAACATAGGAGGTGATTGAAAATTACATGGCTTGGATGAGGTACAACATTGTCCTCAAAGTGACTCCTAAAGGAGTTACAATTATTTTCCAGGGCTTCCCAAATGAAGCACTATAACTAACCAATTGCTATCAAGTTGATTTCAACCTATGGCAATCCCATGTGAGTCAGAATAGAACTGTGCTACATAAGTTTTTCAATGGCTGATTTTTTGGAAGTGTATTGGCAGACATTTCTTCTGAGACACCCCTGGATGCCTCAAATTTCCAATCTTTTGATTAGTAGTCGAACGTTTTAACTGTTTGCACTATTCGAGGACTCTACCACTACAACTACTCTGAGGAAATAACCCTTTTAAAGATTTTTGAATGACTGGGAATGTAATGCATTTATTCACAGCAGGTGACTTCTTGACAGGCATAATACAAAGTGAATTGAGATATAGTATGGGTAATTGGACCAAATGAATTTAGAGATTCTATCCAAACCTAAAGTTCCTTGATACTCTGATATGAGAAGTTTTTGTTTGTTTTGTTCTGTCATTATCATGAAATACAGATGGACAATAAAATCCCAAGTTATGGCTGTGGACCAGGCCTCCGAGAACCCAGTTGATAAGAGAGACTTGCTTATAAGTGAATCTATATTTAGTCTGTATTTTGGGGCTTAAATCTCAAGGAAAAGAAACACAAAACTCTTTTTAAGTTCTGTGTGTTCAGTAGGCATTGGCCAATGCAATTGCCAGGAAAAAGAACAAATCCTCAGTTTTTTTTTCTCCCCACCCTAGTACTTAGTAGAAAGCTGTTGTTGTTGTAATGTACCATTTTCCAGAACAACACCCAAACACTTGACTTTCGTTCTTCTTTTAGGATACATGCAGTGAATTTCGGAGTCTTTTGCAAAATGAAATGCTTTTCTGCACACGAGAAAATGATCCTGTGCGTGGCCCAGATGGCAAGACCCATGGCAACAAATGTGCCATGTGTAAGGCAGTCTTGTGAGTGCACAAATGAAGCCTCTGTTGTGGTTGACAGCTGGGGAGGCAAAGACCTGGGCGGTTAATGCATATTTCCTTATATATAAAAGAAACAAATGATAATCTGTTAAGCATTTTTAAGATCAATCCTTTTTTTTAAAAGGTCAAGGTTAACAGATCTAGAAATAGATAATATATTATTAAGTTATTACATTTTCTATTAGTTATGGGTTAGAGACTAACAATAAATAGATCAGAACATCTTTCTAGATAAAATTCTGAGTCCTTTGCTGTCACATGGATCCTGTCTCTGGATTATTTTGGAATTTCCATTGTAAAGAAAAAACAATTTTATTGCTGATCTAACTTGTCTACCTCAACGCTCTTTCAGGAAAATGAGAGTTTGTAAGGACAGTTCATATATTTAAGGCATTTGACAATGTTTTTGATGAATATTTCAAATGTGTAATCTATATAATAATTATACAGTGCTAAATGAAACAGACATTCTTCTCAGGGACTATAGTCTGGCAGAGATTAGACATGCACGTAAGCTAACATAATAAAAGGAAGAATTGCTAAATGAAAACTGATGTATACAAAGTGTTATGGTACCTCAGGGAAAGCAGAATTAATAGAAAGTTTTATGGGGGAGATAAACTAGACCTTTTAATTTGGAAATGATGTGACGTGACAAGGAAGTATGAGTGGAGAAGAAGGAACAGCATAAGTGAAGATCTAAAATTAGGAAACTGTAGTCATATACAGTAAAAAGGAAGTGATTTAGCTTAGTTAAAACTCTTCAGCTTTGAATCCTAGATTCAAAGAAAATTCTATATGTATTGGGAGCTGTTAAAATTTTTCCAGGTGGGAAAGCAAGTGGCATACATGTTATTTTTTTGCATGAAAATTCATATGTCAGTAGTAAAAAGGGGGGAAACAGAGGAAGGGACAAAAATTCCGAATGTTACTGCTATTGTGGGTAGTTGCAGTAATCCAGTGAGAAATATCTGGAGCAACAGAAGTAGGATAGAATGTGGGTAGATTGAGATGGCAGGCAATGTGGAGGTGAAAGTAATGTGATGTGGCAACAGCTGTTTGAACACAAGGCTTAGAACCAATTAGATATGACTCCAAGGTTTTGTTCTTTGAAAGACAGAGAATCAAAGAGGAAAAGTGCATTTGGCATAGAAAATAATTATTTTTGGACCTTTTGAATATAAAGACTTGTGAGAAATTCAGTTAGTGATATTCACTGAACATTTAGGAAATGCTAATTCATTGCTCACAACAAAAACTGTACATGGTTATGGGTAGGCTGACCTTCTACTTCTGCAATGAGAGCTGTTCCACACAAAAGACTAGACATAATATTTTTATTTCAGAGAAGAGGGCCTGCAGCTTAATAAGTATTCAATAAGGGTTGATGAATTCTGGAAAAGTCTAATTTGGTCATATAAAAAGAAACTCATAGAAATGCACTCTACTCTCTCTAACTTACTCTGGTAGCATAGTGGCTAAGACACTTGCCTGTTAACCAGACGGCTGGCGGTTCAAACCC